TAACTTGTAGTATAAAGTAGAAACATTATTTTCTTTACTATTAGAACTTTATGAATTTTATTATTCACAATAAGAAAATGTGATTTACGGCGAATGGCTTTACAAGTCACACCCAGGTTTTTCATCATTTTGATTCCCAGAAAGTCCCGGAATCAACGCTAGCTTGCTGGTTTCTTTCGGCGGCAAACCAACCCACATTTTCCTTTAAGTTACAAAAAAGACCTCCGAATTTGGATTTGTTTTCCATTTGATTCAGCAACGTTAAATTTATAGAGGAGAGGGTTGGTTAAATTTTTTTCTTTGAATATTAATATACACATCTTCTAATCTACTTTTAAACTATACAAACGAGACTTGAACTCATGATATTGTTAGATTGTTGTTATTAAGTAATCACAAATATGTTATTTATCATTTTAAGACTAAGAATGTCTTGAATTGTTTTATTAGATGTAATTAGTCTTTGGTGTAAATCATGTTGATCTCTGAAAGGCCTGATCTAAACGGTAGGCAATACAGGCGACTGCCCAGGACCCAAAATTTTTAATCTATGTTACGTATTTATACTATTTGATTGATGTTTTTGTTTAAGAAAATAGTTTCATGGGCCAAAGCATCATATTCGCTTAGTAGAATTTGATTGTCAACATGAAGACCAAGAACTAAAGAATGAATACATTGTATCAGAATTCGGAGGATGAAAATCGAAAAAATAAGAGTTGTTCAAATGGGAAAACAATAAGAAATGGCCATATAATCTCGTTATTACTGCATGGAAGTAATAGCCCACCTTCTTGAAGGTTGTCCGTCCCAAAGGTCGTCATGAAAATAAATAAATGGTTTTTGTTTTTAGGGGTTAAATAAATCTCAAAATTCTCACATCTAGGTTTCATTCTTATAAAAAGAATTCAATTTTATGATTTTTGTTTGTTTTACATCTCAATTTCGATTATATTATGCAAGGTTAATAATAGTTTTTAGATTATATTATATGTAGATTAATTTGAATATGTGATTTTGTTTACATCTATATTTTATTTTTTCAATTTTTGTTATGTAATCTGATTGTCTTCAATTTTCAATAATTCATTATTCTTTGTCTATTTAGAAATCTTGTTTGTATTAACTCATAGTTTGTAATTTCTGATTTTGTAAGTTGTATGAATTACATTTATTACATGTATTTTATTTGAGTTTTAATTTCTTGTTATTTTTTGTTTATTTGTTGTTATAGTGATTTTTGAAGTTTCAAGGAAAAAAAATTAATGAGCAACTCATACAACTTTAGTGATAACGGTGTTACTTTTATGTTGCTAATTACTAGTTATTTTTTATAATGTTATTAGTGATTTGCATCTAAAATTGTAAGAAGTGTTTTTCATGAATTAATAGATTTTTTTTTTAATTTGCATCTTTAAGGTGTTTTATTTTTTCTTTCGTCTCGGGTCCAAAATATGTTTGGATCAGCCATGTAAGATAGTATACTATTTTTATATATATCCCATGAGAAAGTGATATATTAGTATGCTTCACCCCTAATGGTATTATCATATTTTTTTCTAGCTCATGTGAACGATGATATATTCCCATGCTTTGTCCACTTTTCTTTTGTTGTAAACATGCAATTCAATCTTGAGAGAGATAAGAGAGTTTGAGCAATTTTCATTTTATTAGTTAAACAACTAGTTACAATCGTATAAGAAAAAATCTACAAAGAACCTAAACTTGGCGGGAACTAACAACATAACACCCCAACAACTAGCAAAAATATACTAAGAACCTAATCTTGGTGGGAACTAACAATTTAATACCCCAACGACTAATTGGTTATCATTAAATAACTAACATATTTTTGAATATAAACTAGTAAAATGCCCGAAGTTGGAGGAGGATAAGGTAAAAGAACCGGATTAGAGATGTCTTCACGATGTTGAGGGCCATGTAAGGGTTTAGTAAATATGTTGGCCAATTGCTTCCCTGTAGATATATGTGATAAGGAAATGAAACCACTTTGTAGTTTTTATCAAACAAAATGGAAATTTAGCTCAATGTGTTCCGTTCTCTCGTGAAAAACATGATTTCTAGCAATATAAATGGGCAACTAGATTTTCACATTCGAGATGAATGAATGTGATATTTGGAACTTGAAGTTCATCGAGTAAACAACTTAACCATGCTAATTCGACAAATACATGACGCATGGATATGTATTATGCTTAAGCTGACGAAAGAAAGGCAGTAAATTGTTTCTTTAATTTCTGAGAGATGGGATGGTTACCAAAGAAAATAAAAAGACCACTCACAAAAATCTTGTTATAGGATATACAGCCCAATCGGAGTCACAATAGGTTTCAACATTATATAAGTAGTCTCCTTATTAAAGGAGAAACCTTAAGTTGTTGTCCTTTTAGGATATTGTAAAACATGGAGAACTGCATCATAATGAGTGATGTGAGATTTTTATATTAAAAATATTTAATTTTTAAATTTATTAAACATTTATCAAAACGTCTTAACCAACACTCACATAGGCACTGATCATAATCGAGTATAGTACAGTAAATAAGGGTGTCAAACTCCTGGGAAATAAGTACAAATTTAAATTAACTAAAATGAAAAATTAAAAGGGGTGTCTAATTGAAATCATTAAACACCAATTCAAACTAACGAACAAAGTAAATTACTAGAATTAAAGACAATGATTTTTGAAGCACTTCCACTTAAATTTCAAACCCATATTTCCTATGGTAAATATAAACCAATTTATTATCAATTATTATCTAATTACTAATGTTTGTGATTAATGAGTAACTAAACTCAATTTTCATGAGACTAGAAACATATAAACACATTTATTTGTTAAAAAAACTTATAGAATCAATCATGAGTTTAATCTTAAAGATCATAAAATTAAACCTATCATAGTTTGTTAGATAATGCAATCTTAAATGCGAAAGCTACCAATTAATATAACTTAACCCTAGGATTGGTTAAATCACTAGTCCTAATAGTTTATGATCAAAAGCTATTAAGATACAAGTTACAATAATCAGATTGGCAGTCTAAACTATATGAAACTTAGATGCAAGTAATAAAGATTGAAACTTTAACAATTAAGGTAGAAGATTTAATCAAAGAGTAAATTTTATATCAACTTTATAACTTCAAAATCAAATTACACCAAAGTATTCTATTTCATCTACATTTAAGTGGAAGAGAAGGCTTTTGGCCTCTAATGTTTACAGAAAAACAGAAAGAATAAATAAAAAGTATGTTAAACATTGCAAACCTAATACTTTCATCAATAATTCTTCAACAATTCTTCAAGATATTACCTCTGCAACTCCTTCAGCCTTTAGAATGAAACAAAAGGTCATTTTTCGCACCTAAGAAGGTTTCCTTTTTGCACACCTTTTCTGAGATGTGAAAATCTTACATTTATAGGAAAAATAACTTAGCGGCACCAACCTTCGTCTTCACGGCGCGCCAACGTTACTTTATTATCAAAAACATCCATCGTCAAAGTTAAAGTTTGTAAAACCAACAGTAAATGAAAATTCTAACAACATGTCCAAGATGGTATCCAACACTAAGAAATGTCAACTTCATGACTACCCAAAGTCCCCGTTCTCACCAAGCCAACCGATCAAGCTACATGAACCACTGCAAGGTGAAAGCAACAAGAAAATCACAAATGTCAGCAAATGTTAAGTGAGTCAACCATAAGTACAGTGTTAATGAAACATGTAAATCCCAAAATGATTCAAACAATCATCAAATAACATGCATTCAATTACCGACATTGCATAAAATGACATACATCATATAACCATCACTATTATATAATGATATTAATCTTCAAATGAATTTCCATTATTAATTACCCATCACTATTCACCATAATAATTATTTACTATTCATCACTTTAATATTTTATAAATATTATTCTTCACAATCACGAGTCTCTATGTCCATCACTAACCCAAAAGGGTAAAAACCTCATTCATTACTAATATGACCGGCTCGACCCAATGCACTAAGTGATACATGACTCACACGATCTACATGTTTGAGAGTCATTGTAGAATGATATTGTCAAATAATATATGATCATAAAGGGTCACACTAACAACAACTTGATACAATTGATTATTTATTAGAAATTAATTTTAATAAATATTCATAAACTCTAATAAATAATTGAAAATTATTTACTTCATGAAAATAGACACGTTCAATACGATCAGTAAGATCGGATCGAAGTTGGTGATAGGTTTCATCATTGTACAATTCATATAGTATTCATAAGTGCAATTTTAAATATGTTTGAAGTTGTTTAAGTAAGTGGGTTTTTGAATTGGATTGCAAACATGTATTTTTACATCCTAATTTTATTAATTGTCATAATCATAAGATTATACTTTTAAAATGGGATATTAACAAAAATGACCATTTATTTATGTAAAATTGATGTATTTAATCATATTTTTATATTTTACCGAAATGATCATTTAGTCAAGAACAAGGTATTCCTGACTGATTAAGATATATAATGTGTATTTTTTTTCTCATTTGCATCAAACACTTTTAAAAAACTCTCTAGTCATGTCCTAAATGGTCATTACGAAATGTCTAATATCACCCATTTTTCAATCAATCGCCACCTTTTAAGCCGTTGTATCGGATCTACTTTATATTATGTTTCTTTAACTTTTAGTTAGATTCTAACATAAAAATAAAGCATTTTCTGGAAATTCGGAAAATTTTCATCGGATTTTGGACTTGGTCTTTAAACTCCGAGTTAACCATTTTTTCTGCCTGAAATCCAGAATGTTGGTAAAGTGCTCATAATATTCTTTTTTTTCTTTTAAATTGAAAGTGCAACGTGGTAACAGAAGCAAATGAAAATACATTGTTATTTCTTACATTTAGCCAAGTAATGACATACACGTACACAATTACTAATATATTAACACGAAAACAACATTAATCAATTTGTAAACCGATTTAACTAAAACATGGGGTTTGTTCATCCAATATTCGTTTACAATTAGTTCCAAGGATCAAATATGTCAAAAATTGTAATATGTTTCTCATGTATTCCCTTGTTTAGATTGAGCTTTGAGTTTTTCGAGTTGTTTCCTCAAATACGCTTGTTTTAGCTTTTCTCTCCTGATAGCCACTTGCTCTTGCCTCCGGACTTTTAAGTCCGACACTTTTTCCCGAGCTTCATTCACTTCTTCATGAACTTCCCTGAAGAAAAACAAAACCCCAAAAAAAAATTAGGTCATGAAGAAATGATTTTTTTTCAAAAAAGAAACGGAATGGAATGGAATAAACATACCAAACAATACTTAACGGTTTGTTTGGCTGGATGGAATGGAATGGACAGGGTAATGGAATGGAATGAGTCGTTACATTCCATGATCATATTTGGTTGGATAAGAAGAATGGGATGAAGTTTGATATGATTATTTGAAATTATTTGTTAAGTAAATGTATAGTTTTAATGCTACTATTTACGTTATTTAATTATAATTACAAAATATGATAACCAAGCTTAATAAAAACTCCTTAAAATACAAATTACATTTTCTAGTTATACTCTATAAGGGAAAAAGGTAATTTAATTAAAAATTTAAAATCATGATTGTTTTTTTTTCAAAAAATTTGTTATTCAAAATTACATAAATAAAATTTGGTTGAATTGCCATTTTTCGTTCTATTCCATGATGGAATGATAAAATAATAATAATAAGAGTTTTTTCGTGTTAAAATTAAAATAAGGATTTTTTTGTTAATTTGGGCAAAATATTAAATAATCAGGACTTTTTCTGTTCAAAAAAAAAATTAGGACTTTATCAAAAAATTTCCCAAAATAATAGGACTTTTCTGCATAAAACCCTAATAATAATAATTTCCCAAAATAATAGTACTTTTCTGCACAAAATAGAAGGAATCACATTCCTCCTTCCTCATTCGAATATATTGAACCATTCCATTTCTTCTCCAATTCCAACGGAATGGACGATTCCATTCCTTCCCCAATTCCATTCCTTCATCAAAAGTAACAAAATGTAAGGAATCACATTCCTTCACATACGGTCCATCCCCTTCCATTTAAAAAAAACTAACGTTTTTCTTTCTTCAAAAACGGAATGAACCATTCCATTCCTCCCCCAGTTCCATTCCTTCATTACTCTATATTTAAAGACATAAACTAAAAACAAACAAATCAAATTACCTCACAAACCGCTTATGCTCATCATTATCCACCATACTATTAGCTCTCCCAAGCCCCGTAGCTCTTGATTCAGGCAACACAGCCACATCATCATCATCTCTTTCAGACATTTCTGAATACAACAAATTCTGTGAATGTGATTCTGATTCCTCTTTTTTACTGAAGAAATCCACACAGTATTTCTCCTTATCTTCCTCATCAGAAACTTCTCCTCTTGCCAGCTTTTCATACAGCTCAGCTTTTTTTTCCAAGGCTGCATAACTTGCTGACCCGTCTTTCTCTGCTTTCATCTCCAGTTTATCTCTGAAACATTGTTAAAAGGGTTTAAAATTAAATGAAAGAAATGGAAATTTTATTTTATTGATTTGGAAGGAATGGAGTTGGTCAAAAGGAATCATGATTTGTTAAGTGGTTGGTTCGCAGGGGTAATATGGTCATTTTCGTTATTCAGCACAGTCAGTCAGAAACAAAATCAAACAACAAGTTTCAATCAGAAGCAGACTCTGACTCAATCAGCAACTATCAAACAACCTCTTAATAACAATTGAATAAAAATTTCAGTTTTTTACTTAAAATCTAGACGTTTTTTTTGTTTATTGTAAAAACATGTAATTGAACATTTGTTTTTATTTATTTCAATGTTATATAATGAGGGTATTTTGGGTCAGTTTACGATTTAATCCCAACATTTAAAAGTCCCGATTTTCTAAAAATAAGGATTGTTTCGTTAATTTGGGCAAAATATAAAATAATGGGACTTTTCTGTTCAAAAAATAAAAATTGGGATTAAACTGTAATCTGATCCAAAATATTGAGACTTTATCGGAGATTTCGCTCTAATAAAATAAGGAAGAATAGAACTGAATTCCTTCTGCCCTCCACTAGGAATGGTGAAATCCATCATGCACATGAAATTTGAAGGATTACCATGGAATTGATATGCGTCACATTTGGCAACAAAACATGCCATGGATGGAATGGAATCTCGAATTCCAATTCCGTAGTATTCTACAAATAAAAGGTGTCCTTTACTTTAATTTTTTTTATTTAAGCATTGTACTTTAATAATCTACCCAATTATAGCAATGTCATCCAAGTAGAAAGTGATTTTCAATGCTTTTTTCAAGTAAAATGTCCTAATAAGGAATAAATTAAAAGTACAATGACAAAAGTGAGGGATTGTTCAAAAAATATAAGTACAATGTTCTCAATAGGTGTACTGTGTACATATACATATCAATATTAACTTGATCAAAAGGAAAGAAACTCATGCTACTCACATAGCCTAGAGAACTATTAAGTCAAATCTAGTTCATTCCTTTAATTTGAATTCTAGCATTATTAGGTGTTGTTATGGTGTTAAGTTTAATTCAATTAAGTTTCTAACTTTATTCCGTTTCACTTATAAACCAAAATGTTGAGTTTTGCTCATATCATGTTAAATCCTTCGAATTAAGCATATCATTAACTTTTGGGATGTTTTTATATGCTAATGAAGGTGGAATTAACATGTTTTGAGGCTGAAAACTAAGAAAAATCAAGATTTGAAAATGTGAATTATGACCAAATTAGTAGCAGATAGGCTCTTAACACCTTCATCCAGTTTTCCTGTTTTATAAAATTACAAAGCCTACAAATTTATCATTAACTTGTTGCCTAATTCTAGGACTCAAGCTTTTCTTTTAATGCCCCATTTCCTGATCTTAGCCTTTTTAGCTCTTTGTTGCCTATTAGTTATTTCAAGTATCTGCTTATGTTACTTTTTTTAAGTATATTTGCTCTATCTATTGCTTGACTCATTGTATTCTTCTATCTTCTTCTTTCCGCTAGCATTTCGCCTATGTTTAAACATACTGATTGCTTGATTAATTGCTTTTAACATAGCAGTAAGAAGGTGGATCCATAAAAATAGGTGTCAAGTACAAGCCTGGGTGATTTTTTTTCCAGAAACTTATCAAATTTGAATCAGATAATTGATCCGTTTGTCAAGCTATCTAAAGAAAAGGTAGGCTTGGAAGTTAAATATGGTGTTACATACCCTAATGAACCCTAATTAAGCCAAGCTGATGAATACGAAATTTTGATTCAAAACTGACTTGGACGGATAATAAATGGGTATAAAGAATATAAAAAGATGATAGATTTAGGGTTATGGTAGAGTTCCGTACTTGTGAGAACGAACGTCGACGCCGGAGTTCTTGCCAGCAAATGAATCATGAGGAGTGATCTTCTTCTTGGCACGGTGGAACTCGATTTGGTCGGGATTCTTAGTGGGATTGGCATTTTTAGCCTCTTCTTGAGACTTGTATAGTTGAGCTTTGAGCTCGAGAATTGACGACGGCCCTACACCGGCGATGGCGCGGTGTTTTTTGGGCATGATTGAGGATTCCGTCAACCATCCTAATGATTCCACCACCACCCTCTTCTTCTTCCCAATCTCCTCCTCGCCCATCCGCTCTCTTTCTCCCCGCAATTCAAAATAATTGAAACACAGTTTTCTGTGTCGATTCCTTGTTCAATATAACCGTTCGTATGGGTGATTGTTTATGCTTCCGATTTGATCGAGTATACGTTAGGGTTTAAAGCCCCCTTTGTCATTGCCTTTGGGCAAGTTTCATCGATACAACACAAGTTCTCCTTTGCCGAAGACGTCCAAGCGCATCAGATTGGATACAACCAAGGATATGTTGGGCAATTTTATGGCCGCCTCGAATTGTTCATTTTATCATATATTTTATCACAATTGTATGATATTGAAATTAATAGGAATGAAATTCTTTTAAGTTTTTCAGTTTTTGTAAAAAAAAAAAGTTAAGTTCTGTATCTGTGATCTTTTTTTGTTAGTTGATGTATAAAATTTGTTAAGTTTATTTTTTATGTTTGTCCACTTATAATAGTATGTTCTCATTTTATAATTTTTTTTAAGTTTTTAGAACTATAGTTATATTTTTTTCATTTAAACATACTTTTGTTTGATTGATATATTTTTAGCTATGTAAAATAAGTATACAGATAACAAGGGTAAAACTAAAAAACAATTTGGTAAAATTTATGCATTAACCAACAAAAAATCGTCACAAAGATAAAATTTGACAAACTTAAAAACTTTTATGTCAAAAGCACATATAGATATTAACAAATATAAGGGTTAATTTCACATTTTATTTATCAATTATCATGCAAATTATAAAAAGAAACATGAATTGTTTACTAAATTCTCCCTAAGTTCATATATCACTTCACAACTAGAATATTTCAAATGATAAAAAAAAATTAATCAACACTATTGCAACCTCACATTTTATACTAATCTGGCACAAAAGGAAATCAACTTAACTTTCGCGATTACAAATTATTCTTCGTATAAACTATTTATAACAGATTCAAGATCTCCACTTAACAATCTCATGCTCCATAGTTGTTCGCGAGAAACCATTTTCCTTGGGAGTATTAATGTTAAGCTCGTTCCTAATGTAATGTTCAACCATGTACATATGTGTCATAATTTATGCTTGATAAATACTTGTGAGATTATCTATTCTCGACTATTTAAGGGTTTGAAGACCATATCTTAAGGTTTTTTTTTATTGTTTGGATATAGTTGTCGGGGTCCTTCAAATTATTGGTCAACTGGTATGAGCTCGATTCGATTGTGTTTCCATACAACAATATGTGGTCATTCTCTTCTTGATATCAATTGTTGGTGCTCTACCACCCCTGACATCATTACTCCATGTGTTTAAGATGAATGTCAATGTAAAAGAAGGAAAACATGCAACTTATAGTGATCTTCAAAGGAAAATGGAAGAGAACCCCTCTAGGAAAATAAAGAAAAATTATAATGCTACATGGAATACCTACCTGACAGAATTAATGTTTAATTCATTTAAAACATGTCACAAGAATATTCTGAAAACAATAACAAATATGTCGTTCCAGTACGAGCATGACTCTCCTTCAATGAGTTGGATTCAAAATATGTATAAGTTTGATATATTCTAAGAACAAATATGGTGTTCCATAATATGTGTATTGTTGGTTCGTTATTTAGTAATTAACATCAATCTTGCTAATGTAATGTTTGTGTTCTCTAGTAGGTTCGTTGTTTGTTTATTTAGCAATAAACAAGTGTTTGTTTATTTAGCAATAAATAAGTGTCATATATTAGCTCATAAACTATTATTTTAATATATAATAGATTACTAGATAATGAACTTTTACATGACATTACATAAAACTACCAAATAGGCATTCTAATAATAATATAATCGGAAAGATGCATTATCTCAGTCCGTAGAACAATAGAAAGTGAAAATACAAGCCTCTCCACCGCTAACTATTATATAAATTTAAACAAATGATCAACAACCAATACAGTTGGGGCATTCAAAATCTTATCTTGAACACTCAAATGCATAAAATATTTACCAACATTCCAAGTGAGTGTTATGATGGTCTTGTTGTAGATGATCTCATTGGAGACTATGTTCATAGTTTTGGTATCTTTTAAGGTGTTTGTTTACTATCTTAAGAAGATATGTTCACATTGGGGGAATATGTATATGGCTATTGAACACTTCATATCCCTCGACATGTTATTATTGCTCTTTTAGGATCTTTTGAAGTTGTTTGTTTGATTTCTCAACATCACTAAATGCAAGACAATCCAAAAATTCTATGTTGGAGGGCTATTTCTAGCTATATATTTGTTGTTAAGATTCTAAAGATAGAAGATGTGCATATCTCAAACTTCTTTCATGCCTGGATATGAATAGACATGTAGAAGCGCACGAATCAGCTAGTCTCATTCACGTGAATCACATACTTAGATTAGACATAAAACATGATTGCGAAATTAAAGGATGTCACGAGCAATATACATGTTAAGTTTGACTTGGATAAATATCTTCATGAGTTCATGTTCACTTTGAAGTTACTGCTAAACACTACTATTTATATCTAATATATGCATGGATGTATACCTTTTGGTTTCTAAACACATGTCATTAGATACAACCGATCATGAATATATTGAAAGTTCAGATGTCACAAAATATATCATGGTTACTTGTCGTCTCCAATAACGTGCATGAAAAGGGAAAACAAACAACATAAAAAGTAAGTTTCTAATAGGGAGAAGAAGAACATTGGGATGAATCTGAAGTGTTCAATTCAATTAATCATTACAACCGCAAGAAAAGGCGAACAAACAACTTATAAGGATTAATGTCTTAGCAGTCATTGTACGATATAACATCAATGAACTACATGATTCTTGTAAAGAAGATTACAAATAATAATGTATTTGATCCCTTTTATAAAAAGATAAATAGGACCCATTTAAGTAGTACATAGACGATTTTTACAGTTCAATGTTTATAAAAAACCATCTATGATAACATTAAAGGGAGTGATTTGTACACAACAATTTATGCATTAGATAGTTGTATTGTATCATATCATCATACTATATTATAAAGGAATCATTTTTTCTTTCATCACATTCATTTGAAACTCCCATGCATTTTTCCTTTCACCACATTCATTTGAAACTCTCATGACTTTTCAATTTCTTTCTAATAATGATTATAAGTTGGTTAATAAGATTAAATAAATATCAAACCAAAAGTGTAATCATATATAAACTAAATTTCATTATTAAAAGAATATCTTTACTTCTACTTATAAAGTTATGTTTTTTAACTTTTTACATATTATACTTAATTTATTAGTTTTAATATAGTGTTGGATGTAAACCATTATCACTTTAAAGCTATAACTTTTGAGCAATTTGTATAAAATATTTAAATTATAAACTTAAATATAACATTACAGGACAAAGTTAAATATAAATTTTAGTTTAATTTAAACATCCCAAATAATATTTTGTAAATAGTTAAAAGTGATAAATTGTAGTGTCTTTCTAATAATGACTATAATTTGGTTAATAAGGTTAAATAAATATCAAACCTAAAGTCTAATCATAAATACTATATTATAAAGGAAGCATTTTTTCTTTCACCACATTCATTTGAAACTCTCATGCATTTTTCCTTTCACCACATTCATTTGAAACTCTCATGACTTTTCAATTTCTTTCTAATAATGATTATAAGTTGGTTAATAAGATTAAATAAATATCAAACCAAAAGTGTAATCATATATAAACTAAATTTCATTATTAAAATAATATCTTTACTTCTACTTATAAAGTTATGTTTTTTAATTTTTTACATATTATACTTAATTTATTAGTTTTAATATAATCTTGGATGTAAACCATTATCATTTTAAAGCTATAACTTTTGAGCAATTTGTATAAAATATTTAAATTATAAACTTAAATATAACATTACAGGACAAAGTTAAATATAAATTTTAGTTTAACTTAAACATCCCAAATAATATTTTGTAAATAATTAAAAGTGATAAATTGTAGTGTCTTTCTAATAATGACTATAATTTGGTTAATAAGGTTAAATAAATATCAAACCTAAAGTCTAATCATAAATAAACTAAATTTCAATATTAAAAAAATATCTTTACTTCTACTTATAAAGTTATGTCTTTAACTTTTAACATATTATACTTAATTTATTAGATTTAATATGCTGTTGTAGGTAAACCATTATCAATTTAAAGCTACAACTTTGGAACAGTTTAGACAAAATACTTAAACTGTTAATTTAAATATAACATTACAGTGTCAACTTAAATATAAATGCCAGTTCCACTTAAAAAACTCAATGAATATTTTGTGAATAGTTAAAAGTGATAAATTGTAGTGCTAAATGCAAAAACTAAATTATAATATCAATTTAACTAAAATATTTCCTAAAGATATTTGTATAATCGTTAAAAGTTTTCAAAAAGTAGCTTAAAATAACTTACAATAACAATAGTTACAAATAACTCTATATAAATGATATTATTGTTACCTTTAAAATCAAATCAAAAAACAATGTTTGATGTTTTAAATAATTATAATGATAGAAATTAAAACGTTAAGAAAAAATAAACATTAAAAAATTAATTAACAATAACAAAAACTATAAATAACATTAAGCTATATATTATATTAAATTTAATTCATAAGTAACCCGCGGGTAGAAGTCATTCAAACGGTTGAGATTATACATTTATAATATATATATATATATATATATATATATATATATATTATCATATAATTCAAAATAATCAATATATTATATCAATTTAATATACAAATTATTATATCAAAATTAACAACATCTTTATTGTTATATTTAAAAAAACATATATTTGTAAAGATTTCAACTATATAGGTGTTTCTGTGCAAAGATTTCAAATATATTATATCAATTTAGTATACAAATTATTATATGAAAATTAACATCTTTATTGCTATATTTAAAAAAACATATATTTGTAAAGATTTCAACTATATAAGTGTTTCTGCGCAAAGATTTCAAATATATTATATCAATTTAGTATACAAATTATTATATGAAAATTAACAACATCTTTATTGCTATATTTAAAAAAACATATATTTGTAAAGATTTCAACTATATAGGTGTTTCTGCGCAAAGCGCATTTGCGCAGGCATTCGCCTAGTAATTATATAAAACATAATCTTTACCCTAATATATAATCTTTACCCTAATATTAAGTAGTACAGGGACTATTTTTGCATAAAGTTCATAATAGTTAACAAACCTACGACAAAGTCAATCACCCCTAATCCTCATCCCACACTTCGCACCTCACACACTCACTCTTCAGTCTTCACTTCACACCTCACGCCAAGCCCTACACACTCAACACTGCAAAACCTCAAACAAATGGCATCGCACAATCACGACGATCACCATCACGATCATGATCATCATCACGATCACGATCATCATCATGAGAACGGGTAAGCAAATTCTCTGTGATTTGAAAGTACCCAATTTGTAGCTTTTAATCCGATAATGATTTCATCCACATTCTTAACTTAGAATCTCGGATCCTTTCGATTATCATCTGCATAAATACATCTTATGCTTGTGTTAATTTGAGAAACGAGGCAGATCGATAAACGATAACATCTCTTTCGCTTGTTTTCTATGAATCAGGAAATCAAATGGAGACTCATCATTTGTGGGTAAAGATGGGAAGGTGTACCATAGCCACGATGGTCTCGCACCACATTCACACGAACCGATTTACTCACCTGGATTCTTTAACAGAAGAGCGCCTCCACTTGTTACCAGGGATTTCAAAGAAAGAGCTTTCACCATTGGCATCGGTGGCCCTGTTGGAACTGGGTAAGTAATTCTCGAATCTTTTTCCAAATCATATCTGATTTCATCTCATTTTTTATCCCTCTTTTTGAAGTTTGTATCTTTTCACTTGATAATGCAGGAAAACAGCTTTGATGTTGGCATTATGTAGATTTTTGCGTGACAAATACAGTCTTGCTGCGGTATGTATAGCTTAACTTTTCCCAAATTATGAAAGTAAATGACTGTTTTACCCTTTTGGAGAAATTTTCAGGTTACAAATGATATATTCACAAAAGAAGATGGTGAATTTTTGGTGAAAAATGGAGCACTCCCTGAGGAAAGGATAAGAGCTGTGGAGACAGGTGGTTGTCCACATGCTGCCATTAGAGAAGACATCAGCATTAATCTTGGACCTCTTGAGGAGCTTTCTAATTTATACAAAGCAGATATACTTCTTTGTGAATCTGGTGGAGGTAATTGGTGTTATTGGTATTCGGTTAAATGCAAGAAATAGCAACATACTTTTACTGATTTATTTATTTATTTATTTTCTTATTTCAACATCTTACTTTCATTTCTTCGTGTTACAACATTATATTTTGAAAAAAAACAAAATTACATAAATGGTCTTTGTGGTTGATAAAATCGACCAACTTTAATCCTTATGACAAATTTTTTGCATAGATGATCCCTTTGGTTTTAAATTCTTGCAAAAATGGTCATTTTGGCTAATAGTGTTAACTTTTTCAGTTAAGGAAGGGCAAATGTGTCATTTCACAAGTGGCTTAATTTAACTAGAAAAGTTAACATTGTTAGACAAAAGAACCGTCTTTGCAAGATTTTCAAACCACTGGGACTATCTATGCAAAAAATTCGTCGTAAGGACTAGAGTTGGTCGATTTTGTCAACCACAAGGACCATTTATGTAATTTTGTCAAGAAAAAAACTTGAAAGCGTCACAATTCCTTAATAAGAAAAAAAAAACTAGAATTACAATTTTGTAATAGAAAGAAGGGTTTTATGTAGAAAAGTCTCATTATTTTGGGGAAATTTTTGATAAAGTCCTAAATGTTTTTTTTTAACAGAAAAATCTCATTATTTTGGGAAAATCACATAATCTGTCGTTTCCTGTTAAAATAAAAAAAAGGACTTTTTCGTTAATTTGGGCAAAATGTTAAACAATCGCGACTTTTCTGTTAAAAAAAATAATTTAGGACTTTATCAAAAATTTCCCAAAATAATGGGACTTTTCTGCATAAAACCCTAGAAAGAAATGAAAGTAGGAAGCTATAATACCTAAATAAATCAAAGCACATTGCTATTTGTTGCATTAATTAATAGTTATACCTGTAATTGCAAGTGAATAATGGTTATGTTATTTAATATTTATATAATTTTTGTGGATGCAGATAATTTAGCTGCTAATTTCAGTAGGGAACTGGCGGATTACATAATTTATATAATTGATGTTTCTGGAGGCGATAAAATTCCTAGGAAAGGAGGCCCTGGCATTACACAAGCTGACCTTCTTGTGTGTGATTTTTCCTTTATTCGTCCCTACAGTATCAAATATTTGCAGAATTGGTCCCTCCCTCCTATATTATTAAATATTTGCACTTATATTATTAAATATTTGCTAAAACGGATCTGGCTTAATTGGAAAACTACAGAAATGGTCCCTGTGTATCGTAAAATTTGAGAAATGGTCCCTGACTAATAGGGAATTTACAGAAATGGTCCCTGCCTAATAGCAAATTTACAGAAACGGTCCCTTGTGTTTGTGGTTTTAGGTTATCAATAAGACGGATCTTGCACAAGCAGTTGGGGCTGATTTGGGAGTAATGGAGCGTGATGCACTTCGAATGAGAGATGGTGGACCATTTGTATTTGCTCAGGTATTTTTGTTTATTTTTTTTTTAATAAAATACTTTTTATTCCATTTTTAGGAATTTTATTCAGATTAAAAATTTCTCTTCTACTAAAGGAATTTCAGTATTACATTTATACAACAAGGTATTTTATTTTTATTTTATTTCTAGGGCCAAAATTTGCAAAATTGTAATTGAAACCCTTGATAACATAGCACCGATTAAATGTTTATCTAACAATGTATCATTTTCTTTTACCAATTTATGTAACAATGTTTAGAGTAAATTACACGAATGGTCCCTATGGTTTGGGGTAATTTACACGTTTGGTCCCTAACTTATTTTTTTAACTCGGAAGGTCACGACTGTTTGTTTTTGTTGCACGCTTGGTCCTTGTCTTACCTAAAAAGACTATTTTGCCCTTGATTTTTTAATTTATTTAAATAAAATGGGGTAGGTAAGGTAAGGTAAGGTGAGTTGGAAGTGGGGTTGGGGTGTGTTTATTAAAAAAAAATAAAAAAATCAAGGGCAAAATAGTCTTTTTAGTTAAGACAGGGACCAAGCGCACAACAAAAACAAAAGTAGGGACCTTCCGAGTTAAAAAAATAAGTTAGGGACCAAACGTGCAAATTACCCCAAACCCATAGGGACCATTCGTGTAATTTACTCCAATGTTTATGTTTCACTATTTTACCAATTTATTGAAGTGACATGTATTATGTATTTGTAGGTGAAACATGGGGTTGGTGTGGAAGAAATAGTGCACAACATTTTGCAAGCTTGGGAAGCGACAACAGGGATAAAGCGTCGCTAATTAGTATTCTATTTTCTTAGAAGGTAGGGTTCATGTGTGCTTTTATTTTCTTTAATGTTTCGTAGACTTTTGCTTTGTTTTTTTGACTGATGTGGATTTTACATGAAAGACAAAGTTATTAGTCATTTGTAGAAGATTTCCCCTACTTCATAATATATGTATATGGAGAGAGGGATGGAAGATGTTAGTGTGCATGGTAAATAGAATAAAAAGTAGCAATGGACTTTTGAGCTTATCATATTTTGTTTTTTGTAAGATTATGTTTGTGATTGTTTTCCGATGTGACAATCTTTTACAAACCATTGCATAAATACTATTTTAATCATATATTATTATTCATGTTTTACATGTGTACCATTTTATAAATATTTATATACTATGTTTGAATATCACAAAAATATACACAATATTAGATTACAAATTACATAAATAAAATATATGCACGGATAAGATTATACATAAATTAAAAAAAAAAAAAAAAAAAACTAATGATTATTTATTTATTTATTTTAAATAAAATTTGGGTCCCGTTCAACCCTATTAAATCCATGTCGCCACCCACAATACATTAAATCCATAACCATCTACTTAATTCCACAAGCATTGTCAAAGAAATTAGGGAGTGTTTGGTTGGTAGAATGTTTTTGGATGAATGTAATTTGTTGAATGAATTGGAATTTGGAAAAATTAGAATTTGGTTAAATTGAATGAAATTCACTTTCCTTTGTCCGTTTAATTTTTTCAAATTTGTCAAAAAAAATTAAAACCTAAATAAAGTATACAAAAGAACCACAATACCCTTTATTTATTTATCTATTTATTTGTAATTTCTACTTGTTTTTAAAAATAACATAACTGTCATCTAATATAATTTATAACTTATTAATCCATATTTTTTTAAATCTTTAAAAAGAATCTCGTTACGTTTCACAATTAATTCCAAATTTAAGATTACGAGGATTATAATAAAAATATGCAAATGTGATGTGCTTTAAACGTCTATAATATTTTTAATAAAAACAAAAAAAAAAACTAATATCAAAGATTAAATTAAAGAAAAGAAAACAACCACGAACCAAAACAGAATGTAGATAGCAAGTGGTGAATGAGTGAGGATCAACATTGGTTATGAAATTTATTTTTTGGTATTTTATTTTTAAAGTATAGAAGAAGGATATTCGAACATCTTTTTAAAACACATACTTCAAACTCATCCATTAGCATACACAACTGCAATTTTTACCTATCGGAATCAAAATTTATACTATCAGGGGTCCATTTTGTAATTTTCAAAACTAGATGGATTTAAGATGTAATTTTTCATTTACACCAACAACATATAAAAAAAAAAAAAACCAAGTCAAAACTGCTCTGTCTATTATTACCATCAATCCACAACACATATAAAAGAAAACAATATAAAACAAATAACTAAAACACACCCTTAAAATGTATTTTTCTTTTCCAAACATTAAAAATTCAAACTAATGCAACAAAAAAAAGTCAATATTAAAAAACTTCATGATCAAAGTTTCAAGGTTTTTAGGGTAGAGGCAAGAAGATCGACTTTTTCAGGCGAATTTTGCTTGTAATCTTTCTCCAAAGCTTTAGCAGCCAATCCTGAGATCTCTTTGTCCTCATTGTTCCTCCCTTTTGTTAGTTGTCCAATTGCAGAAGTGCACTACATACAGAAAGGGGGTATTTTGGTCATTTACCAAAACACAGAAAAAAAAAATGAAATTGAACTGCTTGCATCTTCCCTTGTAGGAATAGTGAAATCGATCAAACATGGAATTTTGAGGATGCTGATGGAATCGGAATGGAATCTCGGATTCCAATTCCATCGGAATCCGCAAAGTAAACACACCCCTGATTATATCATTCTTGCTATATTATGTTTTATTAAAAACTTTAGAGGTTCCCTAGATTCAAATAATACTTTTAATCTTTCTTACCGAATACAACAAGGGTATTTTCGTCTTTTAATAAAAAGAAAAAAAAAATGAACTCGAACTTCCTTCCACAATTCCCTAGGAATAGTGAAATCCATCTAACATGGATATTGATGGAATTGAATTCTACATCATGGAATGGAATCTCGAATTCCAATTCAGTCAGATTCCATAAATTAAGTTTTCCTACAACTTTTGAGCTTCCCTAGATTTAAAAAAAAAAATACTTTTGTTTTTTCTTACCAGACATATTTTCTAGGGTTAATCTTATAAAAGACCTTATATTTTGTGTTTTTTCCAGATTAAACCTCAAATTTATTTTTTGCCTGAAAAAGACCTTGTAATTTTTCATTTTTTCCAATTTGGCCCTTTTAGGCATTTTTTTTCCAAAAAAATTGTAAAATGTGAGGTTTTATTTATTTAAAAAAAAAAAAAACTAAAAAAGTTAGAAGGTTGAGGGTTTTTTTCGGGAAAAAAAAAAGACAAAGTTAAGGGCTTTTTCGGAAAAATGAAAAAATACAAAGTCTTTTTCAGGCAAAAAATAAAGTTGAGGTTTAATCCGGAAAAAACACATAATATAAGGTCTTTTATGAGATTAACCCTATTTTCTATATTGAAAAACTCTCTAAAATAATAATAATAATAATAATAATATATTTATCAAAAAGTGAGTCATTTATTAAAAATGAAAAAAAGAGAACTCACCAAGCAAACACCAAAAAGTGCTCTAACATTTTTTCCACCTGTCAATTCAATGGTGGAAGCATAATATTTCTTAGCTGTTTGAAGGTTTTCAATTCCACCAATTGTGTAAAGAACCTGTTTTCAACAAAAATCCCAAAACAAACATCAACCATATTTACAAAAGCTAAATGCAAGAAATAGCAACATACTTTCAATTATTTGTTTATTATAATATTCCATTTTCATTTCTTTCAACAAAATTGTACTTTCATTTGATTTTTCTTATTAAGACAACAAGTGTACTCCAAAAGATCTAGAGATAATAGTAAATAGCATTTTGTTTTTTCATTTCTTTTTTCTTATTAGGATATTAATATATATATATATATATATATATATATATATATATATATATATATACTTTGAAAACTCTACCTGATTATATAGCAGTGAAAATTGCTTTGTATTTGAATGATATTTGCTATAATGTTGTAAAATTTACAGAGGGCATTGTTGTAAATTTGTAATAGAAGGAAATGAAAGAAGATCTAGAGTTAAGAGTTAGGTGTAGTTTTTTTTAACTTAAGGGTTAATCTCAAAAAAGACCTTATTTTTTTGTTTTTTTTTTCCGAATTAAACCTCAAGTTTACTTTTTGCCTGAAAAAGACCTTGTTTTTTTTTCATTTTTTTCGAAAAAAGCCCTCAACGTTGTATTTTTTTTTTCCAAAAAAACACTCAACCTTCTAAATGTGAGGGTTTTTTTCGAGAAAAACTAAAAAAGTTGAGGGTTTATTTGGAAGCGTTTAGAAAGTTGAGGGTTTTTTTCGGAAAAAATGAAAAAATACATGGTCTTTTTCAGACAAAAAATAAATTTGAGGTTTAATCCAGAAAATACAAAATATAAGGTCTTTTATGAGATTAACCTTTTTTTAAATGTGAGGTTAAAATGGTCATTTATACAACACTTTATGTTCATAATAATAAATACTTACATCAGCATAAGCCAGGTGATGTAGAGGAATCATTGGTTGAGATAAGATCAGCTCCTCATAGCAGAAAGCTGCTTGTTTATACCTATTATAAAACCACACAAACTGTATAAAGCCCCAGGGGCAAATTTGTCTTTTTTTTAAATCCACATAAAAAAAAAAGAAGCACTCTCACATTTGCAATGAAACATATATTTCAGCAAGTTCTCTCCACGCATCATGATCTGCCATGAATCTGAAAAAAAACAAAAAACATCAAGAGATCTCATTGAATTTTAAAGAAAAATTAGAAAAAAATAAATAAATAATGTTTGTGATTTTATTCTTACATCTCAAGATATTTATTGAGCCAATCAATGGCTGCTAAAATATCTCCACGTGCCTTTGCCATGGCTACCCTTCTCATACTAATAACCTGCAAATGTTTAAAAGATTATTAAAACTTAGAAAGGTTATTTTGGTAAATTTAAAGATTGAAGTCTTGTAGGTTGGATGGAATGGAATGAAGAAGGAATGGAATGGAATGAGACATTAAATTCCATGATCATGTTTGGTTGGCTTGTAGGAATGGAATACATTTTCATTTAAATTTTTTTTAAATTATATGTAAAGAAAATGGATAATTTTTACTCTTATTCTACACATTATTTTGATTATAAAAATTTAAAAATAAAAAAGTTAAGACACAACGAAAGCTCATTAAAACCCAAATAAGTCACATAATATTTTTTTAGTTATTTAGAAAAGGGTTAATATCATAAAAGACTTAATATATTTTGTTTTCTTCCGAATTAAACCTTAACTTTATTTTATTCCAGAAAAAGACCTTGCATTTTTTCAATTTTTCCGAAAAAACCCCTCAGCTTATTATTTTTTTTTCCCGAAAAAACCCTCACATTTGACAAGGTGCTAAAAGGGCAAAATTGAAAAAAATGAAAAAATGCAAGGTCTTATTCAGGACAAGTAATAAAGTTAAGGTTCAATTCGGGAAAAAAAAACACAATATATAAGGTCTTTTATGATATAAACCCTTTAGATAATATTAAAACTGCAATTTAACTAAATGGAGGAATTTTCTTTTGAAAATATTTATGTCAACAAATTACAGAAATAAAATCGGGTTAAATTGCAAGTTTTTATTCCATTACATGATGGAATGAATAAGGAATGAAAATTCACAAAATGAAAGGAATCACATTCCTTTAAAAATGGCTCATTCCATTCCATAGAGCAAAACAAACATGTTTTTTTTTCATTCCAATGGAATTAACTATTCCATTCCTTCTCTGATTCCATCATACAAAACACTAAATAAGTATGAAATTTAAAAATCTCACTTGATCAAGTGGATTATCCTCTAGCAAACTTGAATAAGCTTTTTCAGCTTCAGCCCATGAACCCTTTGCTTCAAGCAACAATGCTTCTAATCTACCTGAAATAATCAGTTATTTTCATATGAAATTTTATAATATGCTTTTTTTCTTTTTGATTTAATTGGGTAAGCTATATATATCAAACTATCAGTGTTTCTCTTTGACATAATACAAAAAGAAAAGCTTAATAGAGAAAGTCAAAGAGAGGAGACTTTCCCCATAAAGTCCCAACTTTTTACAAATTTGCCCTTGTTTATTGTTTAAACATCATTTATCCAAAGGGTTAATCTCAAAAAAAAAAACATTATATTTTGTGTTTTTTCCGGATTAAACCTTAAGTTTATATTTTCTCTGAAAAAGAACTTGTATTTTTTCATTTTTTCCAAAAAAAACCCTCAACTTTGTAATTTTTTTTCCAAAAAAACCCTCAACCTTCTGAATGCTTCCAAATAAACCATCAACCTTTTTAGTTTTTCTCGAAAAAACCCTCACATTTCACAATTTTTTTGGAAAAAAAAAATGACTAAAAGGGCTAGAATAGATAATTGAAAAAATGCAAGGTCTTTTTCAGGCAAAAAATAAATTTGAGGTTTAATCTGGAAAAAACACAAAATATAAGGTCTTTTTTTGAGATTAACTCTTATCCATACAACACTTTATTCAGACAAACATGACTCACCAACTCGTTTGCTATCTTGAAACTTCTTCTGCAAAACTTTTATGCAATCCTGAAAAAGTTCAAAAATCTTGATTATAAAAAAAGCCAAAATATTTTATAAGAAAATATGCACTTTTTCACACACACACACACACACACACGAGTAAATGCAGGAAGAGGAGAATGTTACCTTTGCAACATCAAGGCATTGGCAATCAAGTGCAGCAATAGCTACCTGCTCATACAGAGTCCATTCTACAAAATGTAAAAAAGTAAAATCATTTGACCATAGTTCGGTTAATTACAATACTACCCTTCCAAAATTGGTTTTGCTCATTATAAAAAGAGTTTTTTGTAAAGCACACTTTGTTTCCTACACATTACTACTTTCAGGATGGGAAAGGACAAGACAAGTTTTGTAGGATATATTCTATGATGATAATGAGGAGGGCATTCTTGTCTTTTGCCAAGATTGCAATCTTTTGTCTCATTAACAATGTGGTACAACCTGTTATGTTATATCATGTTCTATGAAACAAACGGGACCTTAAGGACAATGAGAAAAAGTCTGAAAAAGTTCTTGTGTTTCCAAAAAAGTCCTTAAGAAAGTTGTATATCTTTTACAAGCAAGCTATTACTTCAGGGTGAGAATGGTAATGTTACTAAGTTTTTTTGATACTAATATCATTCACTGATTTTATTGGTGTAGTTTGTTAACATGATTTACAGATTTTACAGAAGTGGAAGGTTGTTTTGAAACCTTAAAAAGATTCAAAATCATGTAAAACAACAATCATCCTATTAAATGTTTGTTTACACAACAGTTTTTCAACTTTTCTCCAAAAAAAAATCACTTGAAAGAGAAGAGAAAATGGATGACACTTGAATCCAAATTGCCTATATAGGCTTATCAAAACAAATTGGATCAAACAATTATAGTTCATGTCCATAGGGAAGCACTGCTTATGTAGTGTTTTAGATATTCATATGAAAGTTTTTGGAAAAATCATGTTAATTTAAACCAACATTATTTGGGTTATAATACTTGCTGTGAAATTTGAAGTATTTAACAATTTTTACTAACAGTATTTGGAACCATAGCAAGCTTAAAGTTGAACAGTAGCCAATCTGATCGCAAAGTGAAAGTGTAGCTCTATTCATCGGAAGGAAGCCATGGGGGAGATAGATTCAATAATAGTAACTGGTTCAACAATTACAAGTGGATAATCAAAATTAAGGGCCAAACATAAAAAATTGCTTAATACGAAAGAAAGAAATCCATGATCTATAAAACCCACATCCTAGCAACAAAATGAATCGACAAATTCGCTGAAACCCACAAACAGGATAAAGGATTGAATCGAATCAACATCAAAACAACGGAAATTGATCAATGAATGACCAAAGGAAAAGGCACGTACCATCGGGGCCGAGAGCTGAGCGCTTCTTGGGGTCGTTTAAGAGGGTTAAACCATGCTTTAAGACCTTATCGGAACGCCGAAGCTTGAGCTTGCGAACAAGAGAGAGATACTCCCAAGCACCACCACCCCCGTTTTCAACTTGATTCTCGAGCTGCTGCAACTGTGATTCCTCGGTTTTACTCACCATCTTGATCTTCAGATTCAATCAACTGCGATCGGATGGGAGTGGGGAGTCCGCAGCCGGCTTCTGTATGTTTTGAAGTGAATTGGGAACGGAGCAAATCGGTTGGAGTAATGACAAAACCCATCTCTTGCTTCCCCCGGACCGACCCGACCCGACCCTAATATGTTGGATCGGGCTCTGTTTATACAATTTTAATTTGTTTTGTTTAAATGTCGTGGCCCAAATATAGAGGCATAGAGCGATGTATTGAAAATGTGTCTATGAATCGATTAGTTGATAAAAGTTTAGGAAGACTTCGTATGTGTAGAACATGGGGTTTTGAATATCTATATGTAAAATATTAATCGGAAATTATAAAAAATATCTTGCAAAAAATAAATGACAAAATACAAAAATATAAAGAGAAAACTGCAATAAAGTCCTTACATATTGACATCATAATCGATTTAGTCATTATATATATTTTTTATTCAATTAAGTCCCAAAAATCGGTAATCATATTCAATTTAACCTTTTTACCCGGTCAACAGGTCATTCAACTTTCAAAAATTATATTTTTTTGCCCAGATTTCAAAAATTACACTTTTGTCATTAGGTGGGTGTGTTGTCCTCATAGTAAAAGTCGGTAGGTAAAGAACTTATTGTGGTCAGTAGTTCCTTGCAGAAGAACCAGGGATCTTAGTAAGGGAGTGTGGAGCTGCTTGGATTGTGTACCAGGTATGGGTAGCATGGTTATCCATGGTATGGGTTTGATATTTTGATTGAGTTGGGAAATGGTTGATCGATCTTAGGGTTCGTGGGAGATATTATAAGGTTTCAGGCGGTATCAACTGAGGATGCGTTTGTCACGTTAACCCTTAGTCAAATTCAGTAAAGTTTGTATCTTGGTCTTTGTATAAGTGTTCTCTCGATTCTTGGCTATGGAGTTGTGGTCTCTAGTGGGTTCGAGATGGCAGCTAGCCTTAGTTATTGGAATATCGGATATTGGAGCAATGTTGAGGTATTGTGGTTACGTCAGTTTGGTTTGGCAGGTCGTGTCGGCTAGGTTGGTTTTTGGATTGATTTGACCTGGATTTTGGCAGCATTTTTGGATGATTTTGGAGTTCTTCTTCGAGATTGGAAGTTTATTTGTTCTTTTGCTCACTGATGGGATCTGTGCAGTTTCATCAGGGTGTGGGATCTGGTTTTGGTTGCTAGAAGAACGTGTCTGATAACAGTAGAGGTTTATTATTTCGTTCAATTCGCAGGTACGTCACCTTCAGGTTAAGGTCACAATTAGGAAGAAAATCAGTTGGCTTAAGGAGCGTTGTGTTCTCTCCTGGGGAGTAAACCATGTCATAATTACAAGTTAATGCAACAACTTGGCGGTCTATTTTGTTCCATGATTATGCACGGTCATGGTTCGTCAGACAATGTGTCAACGACAGTTGGACTATGGAAGAGTGTGTGTTTTAGGATGGTATAGTTCCTGTAGTTAGGTGAGTGTATTGTGGGATGTTGACTAGGTTCCTACCGGTCAGTGAAATGATGGCAGTATGTCCTTAGACCCGTTGGGGGCGGGTCGGTAATCTTCATGTGGCAGTAGAATGATGGAAAAATTATGACGATCTATGAGCTTCTCACCCCAATGGATGGATGGCATCACGACATGCGGTGAGCTATCGAGTGTTTCACATCTGTGAATGAGGTCGGCGGTTGTGTAGCGGAGGCATGTATATTGGTTTGTTAATCGTGTGGTGTAGGCAGGCGTTTGTGCAAGTATAGTGTTGTCATTGGTGGCTCAGTGACCGACAAGTTGAGTCGGACAGTTGTAGGGTGTTGTCTTGCTGGAAAAGTCATGGTGGTATATTAGCAGCTCAATATTGGAATTCTTATTAGTGAACCCGCGCTCATTTTATGATGAGGCATCATGAGAATTCTCTCCATATCTTACCTATGTCATAGTAGGCTACTTGCTAGACTAGCCGAGTCTTATTAGCTAAGGGCTGTCGTGAGTATATTCGGAGTCGTTGAAAACTCCAGGACTGTTGATAGTCATAGGGTTATTGATAACCCATAGTTGTTTATATTGACATAGGGTAGGGTATGCTGGTTGGAATACATGAAGATCAGTAATACAAATGGTTATAAGTCTCCTGGATGTTTTGGCAGATGTTTGTGCACTTGTGCTGTTCTTGGAGCCGGAGTGTCACACAAATTTTTGTATTGCCCATGGTGGTGCTCATGGGAGTAGTTGATTAGTTACCACTTGTTGATAAGCCATGTGTGCAGTTAAGGACCCCAAATCATGATATCTGATTTTGGGTTGGGATGAGCAAAATTGTTGTTGGTCAGTTTAATTTTTCCCCATGGCATGCTACAGTGTTCTTGAACCAATGGGGGGGGGGGGGGGGAGATGTGTGGATCAGTTTAGGTCTCACACGTTATTTCTCTCTTTGAGGGCATTAAGAGCGGTCGACAGTTCTTGCAGTTAGTAGTAATTTCATGTTTTCTGCGCTCAATGGGACGGCATAAGGTTAGGAATCATTTTGTATGGGGTCATACCTTTGAGTTTTGGACAACATGGTTGATGTTGAAGGAGTCCTTTTCTATCTGATAGAAAGTCATGTTCGTCGAATCTAAGTTATGAGTGAGGGAGAAAAATCTTCTCGAATCGGTTGGTTGTGATGTGTTATTTTCTTTCTCAATCAGTGGATATCCGCACGGATTTGGCGTACGCACCGATTTTAGAAGTCTTTTTGTATTAGTCGTTGTTTCGGATATCCGGTGTGGCAATGGCTCAAGCAAGAAATAATTGGTCTTGGTAGATCCCTCGAATGGATTCGGAGGAAGGGATGTCCTGGGATGATTGGTAAGGACAACTTTTGAGGGTGAAATCTTATTTAAGTGGGGGAGAATTATAACACTCGTTTTCACAGATGGACCGATTTAGGGTTTCAAGGAGTCAAATGACTGATTTTTTTGAAGATAGTCGAGTGTCATGACGTGACCATTGGGTGGTCATGATGTTACAAGGGTAAATATGAGAAGCATGATTCGGAACCAATCTCATGACGTGAGACATAAGGTCTAACAATGTGAGAAGTGTTGCAGCCCAAGCTCATGATCTTTTATAGTTTCCATTGTATTTAAGCCTCTATAAGCCATTCCTAGGGTTCATTTCCAGCCTCTAGCACCCTTTCACCACAAAAAAACCCTAAACTTCATTCCTTTCTTGATTCTTGACATTTTGGAGAATTACTTAGCTTGAAGAAGAATATAAGAAGATGAAGAAGGAGATTTATTGGTGAAGCTTGTAAGGAAAAATAATCATCATCATCTCATATTCTATTTGGAACCTTGTAAGTGTCAAAGCTTCCACCTTTATTGTTGTATTTGGATAGATCTAAATTTTGTCCCACTTTTCTCCTTGTTGAGCAAGTTTGAATGAAAGGAAACCATAAAGTTGGCAACTTTATGGGTTATAAGGATCCTTAGAATGTCATGAAGTTCAGATCTAGTGAATGTTTGAGTTTTGAATCCTTGCATGGGAGCTTGGTGACCTTTTTCTACGCTTTTGATCCAAATGAGATCTACACATGCATTGGACATGCATGTCCATAAATCATCGACCTTTAAGTGTATTTGGAGTTATATTGATGTTAGTTAGCTATTCAAAGAATACGTTAAGTTACATGCCATAAGAATTAAATAGCTTTAGAGTGTCTGATTTGGCCTATTGCGCAGCTCTTGTTTGAGTCTAACTGTTGTAGTGCAGGATCTTTCAGTTGAAGGACTGTTTAATCCTTGCTGCATGTAATTGTATTAATAAGATAGTTAGTTGGAATTGGTAAAAGTTTCTTTCGTAGCTGATAGCATGGTGGGGGTGAGAATAAACGCGTTTCTTTGTCTTTAAGAATTGATGTGGATCTTCTGTTATGGATTTATAGATATAGGAACCTTGATTCTCAATTACAATGATGTAATATTCAAAATGAAACATCTACACCTCATAGTCATTTGGAAAGAGAATTGGAATCCTGATATTTGAAACAACTACTTGACAAGGTAAACGACACAACATGAGAAGCTACGTATGATATGATTTCAATGAAAATTTGAACAATGGATCAAATCGATGAGTGAAAATAAAATTCAAATCAAAACAAGTATCCCAACAATACATGATTTGAAATCGACTTAATGATTTCCTTACTTTAATACCACTTGTAGTATGGAATAAATTCTAAAAAAATGAAATCATGTTTGAATCAAAGTAAAGATTGCATACAAGAGAGTAAATAAGATTTTGATTATGATTAAGAGTATGAAAGCTCAATTACAACTTTTGAAGTAAGAACTTGTTCAAAGCATTCTCTACCTTCTAAATAACATCCCTATTAAGTTGACAAATAGGTAGTCGGTTAGAGAAACAAACAATAAGAATATGACACATAGGCAGTGACATACCATAAAACTTGTAAGAACACGTCACAACAAAACCTAGGTATAAAACTCCGAAACTAAACATACTTTAGGAACAATACACTAAAGACTTAAGATATTACAACTGTGAAACCTTTTGCACTCAAAATCAGATACAACATATACAAAGTCTGAGACCTAACATAGTGCCTCAAAATCTTCAAGGCAAACAAAATAGCCCCATGCTCTAGGTCATGTGTAGGATATCTAGTCTTATACAGCTTTAACTGTCGTGATGCATATGCAATAACCTTGTCACCCTACATAAGAACCGATCCCAAACCGATCAATGAAGCATCACATTAAACTGCTATATCAATCACTACCTCTGGTAAAGTTACAACCGGAGGATCACACAGACTCTATATCAAAGACTTAAAGGCTCGCGACTGATCTTCTCCCCACTTAATTATTATACCCTTCTTTCTTAATTTTTTTAGAGGAACCACAACCTTTAGAGTAATTCTGGATGAATCATTGATAATAACCAGCTAATCCAATAAAACTCTTGATGTCAGTAAGAATATTTAGAGCCTCCCAACTCATAACGGCCTCCACCTTGGCTGGATGAACCAAAATCCCCTGCTGATTCATGAGATGACCAAGGAATTGAACCTCTCGCA